AAGAATTTTCACAGATGGAGAAATTGAGGCACAGAGTACTTGAGTAACTTGCCCAGGGTCACACAAGTATTAAGTGTCTGAGGCTCCATTTGAACTTAGGTCTTCTTGACTCCAAGACCAATACTCTACTACTCAATGTGCAAACTATCCACCTTTGACTTGCTATGAAGAGATTCTTCATCATGATGTGAGGCTATCTGGAAATGGAATGGGTTTCCTTGAGAGGTAGTGATTTCTCCATTATCCAAAGTCATCAGATGAAGACTGGATGACTGCATGATGGGAATGTACTGGAGGGGATTCCTGTTTCCCACAGACAACCTTTGATTTGATTCTAACTCTAAGAGGCTATGATTCTAGGACTGAGAGATGAGAGAATGTGTCTATGAATAAAATATAATCAATTCAACAAATATTTATTAAACACTTATTATGTTGACGGAACCCAACTGGAAATGGCTAGTTGGGCAACACAGTGCACACACAAGCACTCTCTCCTCTCTCTCTCTCTCTCTCTCTCTCTCTCTCTCTCTCTCTCTCTCTCTCTCCTCTGTTCACATAGGGTATCATACTTGTCATTGTTTGGGCTCTGATTGGCTCAGAGGGAATGTAAATAGCAATTGTTTCTGTTTTGGCCAGAAACCCTGAGGATCTTCCTCTCCCAGATTGACTTTTTTTTTTTTGGACTAGGTTAAGAAACCATTCTCTGCCTTATAGCTTCCCTAATTACAGAACAAGTGTCGCCTCAATCAAACTGAGACCAGTTAAAGACCTTAACTTAAAAAGGCCAGGTCTCCCACTGCATCCAGGGCCATCTCCAGTTGTCCTGATCTCACCTCTGGACCCAGATGACTTCAGAGGAGAAAGTGAGGCTGCTGACTTTGCACAGCCCTCAGTCACTTAAATCCAATTCACTTGCATGTCATGGCATCACCTCCTTGCTGCAATGGTCCTCTTCGAGAATTAAGGAGGAACAACAACAACTTATGTTGAAGGAACTTGAGATGTAAAGATGAAGGGCAACATTACCCTGATCTTTGTTGTTCAAGTCTTCTGTGACCCCATTTGGGGTTTTCTTGGCAAAGATGCTGGAGTGGTTTGCCATTTCCTTCTCCAGCTCATTTTACAGATGAGAAAACTGAGGTAAAGAAGGTTAAGTGACTTGCCCAGGGTCACACAGCTAGAAAGTATCTGAGACTAAATTTGAACTCAGGAAGATGAGTCTTCCTGACTCCAGGCCTGGAGCTCTGACCACTTCACCACCTAGCTGCCTGAAACCCTGATCTTAAAGAGATCTAACAGAGAGATAAGACATGTATACAAGTGAATGAGATACAGTAGAATGTGACTATAGCAAAAGCAATATATTGACAAAGTGCTCTGAGACAATCTGAGGAGGATCAGGGAAGACTTCCTGGAGGAGATGGCAGGTAAGCTGGGGCTTTAAGGAAGAGAAAAGTTTAAAGATAGAAATGTGGCAAGAATGCATTCTAGTCATGGGGGATGACCTACATAACTACTTGGAGTTGCAATAGGGTATGAGATTGATGGTGTAGGTAAGACTGTGCTAGTAAATGTTTAATAACCAGGTCTCAGGGGAGAAAGTGTAGACACAACACATTTTTAAGCTTGATCTGGATGGACATTTTTTCCATTACTTTTTGAAATCTAGACAATCAACAAAATAATATATCAAAGTAATAGATGCATTGCAGCAGTTGTTGATTCCTAAGGTATAAATGTTCACACTGAAAATTTAACAGTCTACTCCTGTGAGCCTATTCAACCTGGTGCCAGCACAGCACTTGATTATAGGCCAGCTTGATGACCATGGAGTACATGAAAAGAAGCAGTGACAGATATATCTAGAAGAGTAGGATATATTTGGATTATGGAGGGAGGGCTTTGAGTGTCAAACTAAAGAGTTTGTATACCTATAGGTAATGGGGAACCCTCACAGGTTTTTGAGCAAGGGAATGATAATCTCATTCACTCAACTAAGAGAACAATCTAGAAGCACCAAACAAGTGGAGTCCTATTTGTGACATTTACCAGCTACGTGACCCTGGGCAAATTATTTTTCCTCTCTGGACCTAAATTTTCTCCATTGTAAAATGTGAATAATAAAACTTATATTCTCTCTTTAACAGGGTCATTGTGAAGGATTTTTTTTTGTAAACCCTAAAACCCTATGTTAGAATTAACGGATTCTTGAATACTTAGATTGATATGATTGCATTAATGTAGGTGTTTCCTCTAGGGCAGCTAGATGGCACAGTGGATAGTACATTGGGCCTGGAACCAAGAAGGCTCATCTTCCAGAGTTCAAATCTGGCTTCAGACACTTATTAGGCTGTGTGACCCTGGGCAAGTCATTTAACCCTGTTTGCCTCAGTTTCCTCATTTGTAAAATGAGATAGATAAGGAAATGGTAAACTATTCCAGTATCTTTGCCAAGAAAACCCAAAATGGGGTCACAAAGAGTCAGACAGATTGATAAATAACTGAACAACAATAAAACAAAAGTGTTTCCTCTACTTCCTATCATGTTCAATCCTGGTTCAGGTACTTCAGTAAATCTTCTAAAGAGGATCTACCTAAAGTTGCTATCCTCTGCTTATTTTGGCAACTCAGTACTCAGGTTCATCATCATCATCATCATCATCATCATCATCATCATCATCATCATCACTAATAGCATCATTATCATCATTATCATTGTTCTAATCTATTAGCAAACTGAAGCTTGTGAGGCCACTAATAGCACAGTGGCAAGTCCACCTTTGATCCTGGAGGTAGCAGATTTATTTGGATTCAAGTCCTAGCACGAGAGTCCTAGACTCTGTGACCCTAGGTAAGTCACAAATTCTCTGATATTCCCTTTCCCCATCTGTAAAAGGAGGATAATAAAACTTTCAGTAACTCCCTCACAGCCTGTTGTAAGGGACCTTCCAGACCCTCTGCTATATACTCCAATATCTGAAGGATTTATCACTTCAGCTCCACTGGCACAGGTCACAACTCTGCCATTGAGGGTTGTTCTAGATGAAAAAGCCATCGCCCCTGTGGCAAGACCTGGTGACAGCTCTCCAATCCTAATTATTCTTTGGCCAGCAGATAGAAAGTCCATTACCAGCCTGTACTGGAAGCCTGCCCAGCTCAGCAGCACTTGCCAGACCTTGTGCTCTTCAGGCTTAATGAGAATCTAGCTCCCTGACACAATAGAGCATCAGAGAAGTGCTTTATTGGAGGAAAGTGCTATATAAATGTGAGATCTCTTCCTATTTTTCCAGTATTCTTACACCTTCTCCTCCAAATACTTCCATCCATTCACACTGGCCTTCTAACTCTTCCTCAAACATGACACTTCCCCTTCCAATTCCATGCATCTTTTTCTGGTTGTCCCCCATATCTGGAATTCTACCCCTTCTCACTGCTCTCTCTTAGCTTTCCTGGTTTTCTTCTTTCAAATCTCATCTTCTGCATCAAGCCTTTCCCAATCCTCCTTAAGATTAATATCTTCCTTTTGTTGATTATCTCCCATTTATCCTGGCTGTATCTTGTTTGTATGTAGTTGGTTGCATGTTATCTCTTACCATTCAATTGTGAACTTCTTAAAGGCAGGGACTGTTTGTGTGTCTCTGTGTTTTGCTTTTCTTTATATCCCCAGTACTTAGCATTAGCACAGTGCCCGGCACGTGGTAATTGCTTAATGATTTCCTGTAGACTTGACAATTTATCATTGTGTGAGCTGTTATGTAGGGCCTTGAATGCCAGATTAAGAAGTTTGTATTTTACCCTGTAGGCATTGAAGAACCCCTGAAGGTTGTAGAAGGGAGAGACATTCCTCAGGGAAAACCACCTTCCCTATTTCCTGTCCAGCATATCACCATGCTTCCAGACAAGATCTCCAGCTCAGCATCATCTTTGATTCTTCACTCTCTCTCATTCCACACTTCAAAAACTTGCAAGGTGTTGTCAATTTAGACTCCTCAGTAGCTTTCCCAACCACCCGTTTCTCTGCATTCACAAAGCCATCACGTTTTCATCAGCTCTCATCTGGACTACTGCAAGAGCCTTCTAATTGGTCTCCCTGCTTCAGTTTTCTCTTTTCAATCCATCTTCCACACAATTGCTAAAGTGACATTCTTAAAGGGCAGATCTGGTCACATCACTTCCTCTCTCAACAAGCGGCAATGCCTTTCTTTTGCCTCTAGGATCAATTTCAAACTCCCAGTTTGGCATTTTAAGCCTTTTACCTCCTGGCTCCAAACTACCTTTCCACAGGTACATCACATTGCTCCCCCTAGATGCTTAATAAATGTTTGGTGACTGACTAAAGACAGAGACAAAAGGAAAAGATATCAATGCCTAGAACAAAGTAGGTGCTTAATGAATGCTAGTTGACTGACCAACAAAAGTTAAAGCAGGAAATGATCTTAGAGATCACCTGGTCCAATTTCTTTATTTTCCAGATAAGGAAAACTGAGGCCCAGAGAGTGTAAAAGACCAGGGTTCAGATTTGAGCTACATGGGACCTTAGACAAGTTACTTTAATTCTTTGTCTCGGTTTCCTTATCTGTAGGATAAAACAAGTACCTTAATTAAACTAAGTAATCACTAAGGTTTCTTTCGGCTCCAAATCGTTGGATTTAGATCCCTCGACAAGGTCAAGGTGGAGGTGGCCATACCTAGCAGAGACGGGATTCGAACACAAACGGTCTATCCCATTGCCTGGCAAAGCTCTTTCCCCCACTCCAGGATCAATCGGGAGAATCCAGATAGGGAGGTTGGTCCCGCCCTGGACAGCAGAGTGGAGGGGAGGAGTGAGCTCCAGGGCGCGGGTGGTGCCGAGCCTGGGGTAAGACTGGGCGGGAGCAGGGGGTTTGGGCGGTGCATCCTGTCTGGGGGGTGGGGATATTTGGGGCGGCGGGGACTGGAGGCTGCCACTTGCAGACCTGCTGCGACTGTCCCACCCTCAGCTGAGGCGACTAGAAAGCGGCAGCTCCCGTGCGTCCCGTCCCGAAGCTGGGGCTGCAGTTTAAGCTCCGCCTGCCTGTCTGCGCCCCTAGCCTGGGCTCAGTGCGCTGGTTCTATGGAACAGAACAGAGGTGAGTGCGGCTGCGGGGGGCGGGGGGAAAAGAGTGTTTGGGGTAGGGGAGAGAAAACCCTTGCACTTGTTTTGTGGTCCTAGGGAGACCGGGAGAAAGGGCTGCATGGGGGAAACTGGGGATGCTGGGGGCAGGAGCCATAGCCAACAGAGAAGCGACACTGGGTGCCCTCACGCCTCCCTGCCCCCTGAGCAGTATTGAAGAGTGTGTCGGAAGTCAAAGGCGCCCCTAAACCCCGCACCTTCTCAACGCCTCTGAATCGGCACCCTCTTAGTGTCCCAGAACCCCGCACCCCTTCATTTCCCCTTCTCACTTTACCGTCTCAGCGGGATCTGGTCCCTGGAAATTCCAAGGCGTCCCTGGCCACTTCCTACTCCCCAGCCCTCCCTCACTACTCTGCCCCTCTCTTTTACACCAGTGCCCCCGCTGTTCCCTATTCCTTTCTCCCCAGTTCACTACACTCACCTTTTGCATATTCCCCTTCCTCATTGTTTCATCCCTCCTCCTCCTCCCCTTCCCCTATATTCCTTTCTTCCCCTTCCCTCTCTTCTCCACAAACCCTACACTTGACCCTCTGCCTCATTCCCTCCCTGCTCCCCTTCTTCCCTATTCCCCTCACATCCTGCCTCATTCCCTCCCTCCCTTCTTCCCCCTCCCTTCTCGCTTCCGTTCTCCCTCCTTTTTTCTACTCTAACCCTCCCCTGTTCTGGGTTATACCTGCCCGGGACGTACCCAAGGTTCTGGAGGGTCAGGTAACTTGTGTTTTCAGGCCAAAATGGGTTTGTTCAGGAGTTAGAGAAACGTTGGAGTGGAAAGTTCACTGCACCGACTCCCAACCAGGGTTTGGTTCTGGTTTTGATTAATCGTGTGTGCACCTTAAAATCACCTTCTTGAGCCTGTTTCTTTATATATAGAATGGGAATAAATAACACCAGTCCTCCCAACTCACACCAGTGAGAAAGGTGCATTGTAAACTACTGAGGACTGAGATAGACTATGAGCTTCTTAACTGACTATTACTCTTTGAGAACTGGGGTGGCTTAATAGTTTTCTTTGTATTCTAGTACTTAGCACAATACCTGGCACACCTGAGAAATACTTGTTGATCGTTATATGCATATAAGCTGTTATTATTAGAGGTTTGAAGGGGAGGGGCCATAAACTGTTGTGCTGGTGCTGAGCCCTGAGGTGTTTGGTCTCTGGGAATGACCTGTTGCCTCCTGAAAGGCATGAGCTGAAATGACTTCTGTAGCTGGAGCAGGGGGTGTTAATAGTACTGCTATGTGAACAATGGAAAGAGCCTTGGCCTTGGAGTGGGGTTGTTGTTAATCAGTTTTTTCAGTCCTGTCAGACTCTTCACAAACCCATTTTCGGTTTTCTTGGCAAAGATAACTGGAGTGGTTTGCCATTTCCTTCCTCAGCTCATTTTACAGATGAGGAAATTGAGGCAAACAGGGTTCAGTGACTTACCTAAGGTCACACAGCTAGTAAGTGTTGAGGCTGGATTTAATTCAGGTCTTCCTGACTCCAGGCCTGGCTGTCTTTTCATGGTACCAACTAGCTGCTCTTTCTAAAGTCTAGGATCTGGCTTCAAATCCTGCAGGCCTATAAATGTTTCCTAACTGTGTGATCTTGGGCAAATCATTTTACATTGACATCCTTATCTGAAGAATGAAGGTGGGATTGGATGACCTCTGAGGTTCCTTCCAAATCCAGATGTATGATCTTATAATTTTTAATAGACTGAATGAGGATAGATTAATATGAGACAAAATAAGGGGTTATGCAGCTAACACCTCCCAAACCTTCCTCTTCCAGTTCTTTTTCTTTTTCTAGACTCTAAAAAATAAAGTACATGCTTTTCTGCTTTTCCAGTTCCCAATGTTTAAATTTAGACTAAATTAGCCCAAAGGGAATAAATAATCTTTCTACACATGCATAAAGGCTACTGCTAATGGAAACGTGATTATCACTTCAAGAATGAGGCCTGATTTATTCAAAAGAACCCTGGAGTCTTGGCTTCTCAAACCCTGGTCTCTGCTACTAATTCTGATTTTGGATAAATAATTTTATCTCTCAATATATAAGTGGTCTCGTCTAGAAATGAAAAGTATGACTTAGATGATCTCTAAGATTTTTTTTCCAGATAAAAGGTCCGTTTTATGTTCTGACATTCTAATAGTACTATTTATGGATAATTAGCCTAATGTAGAGGAAAGTATCTTAAAATTAGAATAAAAATATCTAGGTTCAAATTCTGCTTTTGACACTAAATAGATAGTTGTTCTTGGGGCAAGGTACTTCCCTGTAGTAGAACTGACTCAGTTTCTTCATCCCTAAAATGAGGGGATTAGACAAGGTGATCTCAGGATGATTCTAATTCCTTTGCCCTCTTTACAGTCAAGTTGTTAATAAGCATTTATTAAGCACCTACTACATGCTAGGCACTTGAGATAAAACAGTGATACCTGCACTGATTACTTTGCAGGAGAGCTGGGGAAAAAGTACTTTCCAAACAGTAATTAGTATTATAAAAATATGAGGTTATTGTTAGGTGGCTCTGTCCTGGGCCTCTCTTCTCTTCCTCTATACTATTTCCCTTGGTGATCTCATCAGCTCCCATGGTTTCAATGATCATCTATATACTGATGATTTTCAAATCCACTCATCCAGCTCTAACCTGTCTTAACCTCCAAATTTGCAACTCCAAATACCTTCCCAAACTAGATGTCCTATAAACATCTTAAACTCAGTATTTCTATAACTGAACTCATTATCTTTCCCCACAAATCCTCCCCCCTTCCAAACTTTCCTGTTACTTTTGAGGCACCACCATCCTCCCATTTAGGTTCTCAGCCTAGGTGTCAACCTCAACTTTCACAATCCACCTCCCCACCAATATCCAATCTGTTGCCAAATCCTGTTCTTCTAGCCCTCTCACCACCCTGGTGCAGGCCCTCATCACCATACATTTGGACTACATTAGCCTGCTAGTTGATGTCCCTGTCAAAATCTTTCCCTAGTCCAGCCTCCACTCACCTGTCAAATTAAACTTCCTAAAGTTTGGATTTAGCCGTGTCACCTCCCTATACAATAGACTCCAGGTGCACCCTATCACCTCCAGGATCAAACATAAAATCTTCTGTTTGCCTTTGAAAGCCCTTCACAACTTGTACCTTTCCAGTCTTCTCATACCTTACTTTCCCCCACTCCACAGACTCTACAATGCCGTGACACTGCCCTCCTTGTTTCTTGAATGAGACACTTAGCTTTTTCACCTCAGTCACAAGTTATTTAACCTTTATCAGCCTCAGTTTCCTCATTTGTAAAATGAGGATAATAATAACTCCTACCTCCCAGGGTTGTTGTGAGGATCAAATGAGGTAATATTAATAAAGCATTTTGCAAACCTTAAAGCACTATACACATTTGAGTTATTGCTGTTGATATTGTTGTTATTATTAGTATGATTTCTTCACTGGTTGTCCCTCCTGTGTAGAATACTCTCCCTCATCTCCACCTCCTGGCTTCCCTAGCTTCCTTCAAGTACCAACTGAAATTCTATCTACAAAAAGCCTTTCCTGATCTCCATTAATGCTAGCATCTCCCCTCTTCATTATTTCCAATATATCCTATTTGTACATATCTTTATACAGATCCAACATATCTTGTTTATACATAATCATTTGCATGTTGTTTCCCCCATTAGACTGTGAGCTTCTTGAGGGCAGAGATTGTTTTTTGCCTTTCTTTGTCCCCCTACTCCACCTCTACCCCTGCTTAGCACAGTGCCTCACACTGGTAGGCACTTAAAGCTTGCCTAACTGACTAGGTCTTTGGTTCTATTAACATGGAGTGAATGCTTTTACCACTTAGTTCAATGGTGTGATCATCTGTAAAATCTCATCATATTATTCTTTGACTTCCACCAAAGTACTGTTCGGATACTAAATTTTGACAGGAGATGACCCCGGCTTTCCAAAGGCTAAGACAGGGGACCTTACACCCTGCCTCATCTTACCAATCTGGAAAGGTTTCATCTTTCCAGAAACTATGTTGTCCTTAGCTTGAATATTTTAGCAAAACAAGTTTTTAAAGACCTTTTTCTAAGCCAGAAATAGATTGTTAATTGTGGTATGTATCAGAGTAAGGTCTCAAATCAGTGAAATCATAGATTCTTAAAATATTGGTAAGTTATTTCCTGAATGATTTCTCCTTCAGTTCTTATGAATCTCACAGCTGGGGAGGTGATTACTGGGTGCTAACTCTTCTCTAGCAATTAAGAATTATGAAAGGAAATGGGGTTGTAGTGAAAGAACGCTAGACATCAATTTGGCAAAGGTGGTCTTGAATCCATCCTCTCCCTTTGCCACTCACTAGCCATGTGCTAGGCAGATCACTTCCCTTTACAGTTGTGTAACTGTATCATGTATAAAACTTTATAGCTTTATCATCTATAAAATGGGGATAATAACCACACTACCTACCTCACAAGGCTTCTAGGAAGATCAAATGAAATAATGCATATCATGCTTTGAGAACTTCATTCCAAAGGCAGTGGAGAGCCTTTTTTTTTCTTTTTCTTTTGAGTGAGTTTAGGGATGTGAGCTTTGTGTATTTGTTTGTTTGGAGGTAACTAGCAGCTTTGTGCAGTGTCCATTGGAGGGAGAGTGACTGGAGGAGGAAGACCAGTTAGGCTGTTAGAGCAATCCAACCAAATAGGAATGAGAACCTGTGTTTGGGCATTGGTCAATGTGAGTGTAGAGATAGGGATGGGTTTGAAAGGTTATGTTGGAGGAAGAATGAACGGGTCTTGGGTCCTGGATTTGGGGAAGCAGGAAGAGAAAGGAGATAGTGTTCGTATAATACAGCATCTCTTTTTATGGTTGAGGAGACAAAAGCCCAGAGAAGGGAAGTGACCAACAAGCCACAGTCAAACCACTGGACAGAGACAGATCCAGAACTCAAAGGCAAAGTCCTGTTTCCTATCGAGTTCTCAT